TGATCTTATTTAGATATACAGACCAGATCTCTGAGCGGAGCTCGGTTGAGCCCTCCTCGGCAACAGCTCCGCCCCCAGGAAGCCGCTTTCATGTGTTTTGCAATCTTCACTTGTACTAAAAAAGTGTGGTGGCCTATTGTAATGTTATCACTTTGGTTCTGAAACAATTGATACATTCCTGGGGGGATGAAGTTTTTTTTAATTGATACATTTATGTGGGCCTTAATAATAGTTGTTTTGGATTTTATTTTTAAACAAGAAAAAGTTGGTACATTGGACTTACCACGCTGTGGGACAGAGGATTTTGTAATGTGATATCTTCTTTCCATTCACACCCAGGGCAGAACCAGAAGATTCTCAGAGTGCTTTCTGGGGGAAGATACAATTTATCCACCAGTTTCAGTATGACAACTCCCAGGATTATTTAATGAAAATACGCTTCAAAAAATAAGTGTGTGTGTGTGTGTGTGTGTGTAGGATTAAACTGTGTAGAATTAGTTGCTTAAATTGATATATATCGAACAACACTTAGGTGAGCTAGATGCCCTGTTTCTGTTGTAGAAAAAGAACTTCATGTAAGTCAAATGGTCTTTAGCAAAATCAGGGCATTTTATGATATACCAGAGCGGTCCCTGAGAGTTGAATTTTAAATCTGGACAGTTTCTAGTCCTTGCTAGAAACTACCTTCTGTTCTGCCAAAAATGTTTCATCCAATCATTGCAATAGTTATGCTCACAGCATTTTATGAGAGGTGACAGAGGAGATGTGTCCCAAGCAATCCATACATATATGAAGTTATTTGGGGTCCACAGAAAAGAAAATTCTAGACTCCATTTATTCGGAAATAGTGGTTGGTGCTTACTTCTCCCCTTTTGCCAGTGGGGAAGTATATTTCCCTGGCTGGAACCACATTTGAGGTTTCTGTGCCTCCCCCAAATAATGTGTCCCTTGTTGCCAGTTGGGATGCTGCTTTGCGTGTGGTAGGAGCAGAAGGAATGGGGAAACTCTGATGTCCTGGTGGTGGTGATTAGGAATAGGGTTAGGCATATGCTGATTGGTTTTTGGTTGGTTGGGAGTTTCTTTTTTCAATCTCAGTAAGATCCATATCTCTAGAGGCTTTCTAAATAGATTATCATGTTTGAAGAATCTTAATATGAGGACTGATTTTATAACTTTGCTTTCCTGTATTCTACCCAAAGTTGTCACTTGTTGTCTACATTAGAATCATGCCTTCTGCTGAAAACTGTGTAATTTAGGTTAATATATGCCATAAAACCAGGCTTGCTATTATGATTATGCCTTGGCTATGGGATCAAAAGTCTAGGGAAAATGGAATAGGCAAGGAAAGTTCTTAGTATAAGACTAAGGCAGTAGCTAATGGATTCGGTATTATATAATCTTCATTCTGTCCTCTGGATATTCTAAAAGCATCTTTATATACTTTTAGCTTCCAAAATCAGAGGTATCATGAGAACAGGTCCAGGAATTTCCCTTTGGAAAATTATAGAATTTGTAGGCCGAGGGTTAGAGTTAGCGTAACCCTAGCCCTAACCCCATTTTACACCCAATTCCAACAGATCTAACAGAGGACCCATAGAAACGAACAATTCTGATTCTTTTAGTCTAGGGACTTACGGACTACTCCCCCCCACCTCTAGTGGTGAAAAGACTGCTTTTCGGAAAAACCTGATAGATTTGGCACATGAATGTTAATCTGCTCAATCTAAGGAGAACTGTGTCTTCCTCTTCAACCAAATGTGCACGTGGGGGGACAGGATAACTTGCTTACCTGTTTCATATTTCTTCCCCTTGCAATCAGCCTAGTTCTTGACCATTGCAGTGGAAGTCTAGGGAGGAAGAAAGGGGGACAAAAGGGAGAACGGTGCTACTTTTCTCTCGTTTGCTTCTGTAAATTAATCTGGCTATGAATCATCCATAGTGGTATTTTCTTTCTATCTCCACTTCCATGGCTGAGTAGGGTGGTTTAATATAGGAAATCTGCGCCTACTTGGTGAATTCTTGCTTGATCCTAGAGATCTCTGGCCCATGGCTTTCAGGGAGGAAGATGTGATTCAACACCGGTATTCCATCTGGAGGGCAGAGAGGGCTAGGTATCTAGCATTGCCAGCTTCTGTCCCCTGTGATAGTTTTTGGATAGGGATGAACCCTCTGGAGTTGTAGGTGGAATGTGTTGATGGCCTGCAGCTTTGATAGTTCCCCTCTTGAAGCAGGATAGGGAGGTGACAATGGATAATGTGCTACTATGGGTGTCTTACTTGGCCTTAGCTATCTGAGCAGGGCAACCTATTCACTGACAAGAAGTTGTCTTTGGTGACTACTGTATGCACCTCTCATTTTAGCCCCAACTTGAAAGAGCCACCCAGAATCATGTGAGAGTTGGGTGGCATCCACATTTTATTAAATTAATTTATCAATATTATTTCCACAATCAATTATGTGATTGCTGTAGCTTTTATTTTTAATGGCCTATTGTCATTTTGTGAAACAAAGAGTATATCAAAATGGCTTTGAGAAAGTAAAGACAGCAAAGTACATGAAATTTGAGTTCAATGTAGGACTTGGCTGAAAATGTTCCTACAACATTAGCATTCTGCTTTTCGTAAGACTGTAAGATACGTGGAGTCAAGCAGCCAAAGTGTTTTACTAATAACTTGCTCAGGTGAGCTGTTACTATTTTCAGTGTACATTTCCTCCCTTCTAACTTTTTCATCCATACGCAGATCAGAACTCTGCCATGTTTTTGTGAATTTTATAAAATTTTACCTCAGCATAAATACAAGCAATAAAAAGAATATATCTCATTACATAAATATATACATCTGAAAAAATGCAGTTTCTCTCAAAGATCAGTTAAATATGGCAAAATATAAAAATACAGCAACTGAATCATCAAAAGCAGATAAGGACTGATTAATTAGAATCTGGTTCCAGAGTAGGAAAAGGAAGGTGACTAATATACGGATCTTCAGTCACACAGCCCAGTATTTGCATACAGGCATATCAGCTTTCCTATCTTTGCTTTGTGCACACATGAATTCAGAAGCACAGTAGACATTACACAAGATGTGTGAAAATACACATTTCCACCAATACATGATCTTTTCAAATACAGTACATGGAAATATTTTTCTTAGACATTCTGTTCACATCTCTGTTTCCGCTAATAGACTTTCTCCAAGGCCTGATGTTACCAAGACCATCTGGGAACTAGAATCTGAAATGGAAAAAAGTTTCTTTAGCATTGACACTGGCAACTTTTCAATCTTCCGTTCGCCCCATAGATAGTGCTGCCAAAATCCAAAAGCAAAATGGTTAATTTTCAGCCTGTGAATTTCTCTCTTAACTTTGTCTCAAAATAACAACAGTGAAAATCCAGTGATCTCTTATCTAGTGATCACAGCAGTTCCCTGCAGGTTTCAGCACCAGGAGAGAAGGGAAGCCATCCCCAATTGCAGCAAAACCTTTTTAAGACACCAGGTTCATTAAGTCCCCCTTTCTTAACACCTTTGAAGTGTCTGTAAAGTTGCCAGAAATCTTCCAAGCAACAAGTTTGTAAAAACCGGCCGCTGAGTTAACATAGTTTCCAATACAAAATTAAATTAACAGCCTGCATAATGAAAAGAAATGAGGTAAACAGCAAAAAGCTTAATAAGAACTTAAGTTACAAACAAATTAAGGGACCAGACAGTTTTGGAATATTAGGACTTTTGTTTAAATTTTTGGGAAATAATTTTTAAAAACCCAGTATTTTCATGGTAATATGAATTAAGTCTATTAAAAAATAAGAAATAGAAATGTGAAAATTTGCAATTTTGAAATAAAAACACTAGAGGGGACTAAAGACTTTGGGCAGAAAAAAGTCCAATGACAAGGTTTATAAAGGATATTTTATAATTAATATAATTAATGAAGCACTGTTAAGCAGTATATAAGACTAAGTAGAATTGCTATTTCAAACTTATTTCACAAAGGATTGAAGGAGACTCACTAGGTGTTGTAAAATTTGTGATTCGAAAGTTCCTAATAGCTGAAAAGCAGTTAACAAGTATTTTCCAAAAGTGATTAAGAAAGGGAGAATACGAACCAATTGTCTTTGAGGAGCCAAATGGAATTTGAACAAAATGGCTATTCCCTCATCTCCCAGAGCTTTAAAGCTACTGAGATCACTGTCTCAAGGTCTCCCCACGAGGAATAACTATCTGGAGCACTTGTGGGTGATCTCAAGTTCTCTCATTGTCCGGAGAGAAATTATGGAGAGGCAGTCTACTCGCTGGGTCTTCATTCTGTCATGGTCAGCTTCACCTTTTGTGGTGCCATCTTCAGGTTGTTGCTTCTTCCCCAGAAGTCTTCCCTGCAGTTTTCTTGAAAAGATTTTGGAAGTGGTTTGCCATCTCCGTGAAAGCATTAACTATTAATTTATATTCAAATTTAGTATCCATCAGCTTCTATTAAGATTTCATCCTGAAAGAGGAATTTCAGTTCTAGATAAACTATGCCAATTATGCTAATACAAATAAATATTGGGATGAAAGAACAATACAATTTGGAGATACAAGTATAAAAACTTCAATATTACAAGAATGAGAACATATCCATTCTCCATCAATTTATGTGAAATATAGAATTCCTCTATATTTGAAAAAGCATCTCATCACTAGGAGTCTCAATTAGTGGGTTATTTAAGTATCTAGTCTGTTTAAACTGTCCTACATAGCTTAATATACTTTCCCCCTTTATAAAGTCAGATAAACTGACTGAAATACAAATTAGTTTTACAATATGATAAAAACATACTAAAGACTAAATGACCAGTGTTCTAGTAAAGAAAATTCTTTTCTTTCCAAATAAATCAAGATTAAAAAATGCAGTATCCTAATTCCACATCCGTGTAAATTTCCCACACAGTGTCACCTCCCATTCTCAAGAGGGAACCAATCTTACTGCTTTGACAGATCCAGGAATTCTTCTCTCTGGCCATCACTTCATGGTTCACAGTCTCATCTTCTTCCTCTCCCTCTGAAAGAAGGTCTGAGATTTGCTGCTGTAGTTCAGGACTAATGTTGTTCTCTGCCAGGATCAATGTCCTCAGAGCTGTTGGATAGTTTTCTACCATGTCCAATAAGATCTGAATTGAGTCAGAACAGAGGCATCATGAGTAACTGCTCTCTCTAGGTCAGTGATGGGCAACCTTTTTGGCGTGGTGTGTCAAAAATCGGCAAAAAATCGGGCATAACT